AAGGTCCATAAAGACATGGATGACAGAGTCTGGTGTGGATGAACTTGACTGGCCTGTACAGAGTCCTGACCTGAACCCGATAGAACACCTTTGGGATGAATTAGAGCGGAGACTGAGAGCCAGGCCTTCTCGACCAACATCAGTGTGTGACCTCACCAATGCGCTTTTGGAAGAATGGTCAAAAATTCCTATAAACACAATCCTCAACCGTGTGGACAGCCTTCCCAGAAGAGTTGAAGCTGTAATAGCTGCAAAAGGTGGACCGACATCATATTGAACCCCATGGGTTAGGAATGGGATGGCACTTAAGTTCATATGTGAGTCAAGGTAGGTGACCGAATACTTTTGGTAATATAGTGTATCTCCGAGTTGGGCCGCCTTCCTAAAATTGATTATTTTCCTGTAACAGCACCCACCATCTTGTTTTATTCTATAATAGTTGACATGCCCAAGTTCTGAAATATGGCTGATGCTACTCAACTTTGCTTGTATGAGCACAAACTGACACAGAATATGAGGAAAGGAAGAAACAAATCTGCAAGGCAGCAGGAAGTTTCTGAGCAAAACAAACTGGTAATACTTTATAATTTTTTATATTTTTGCAAATATATCAGTTTCATTGTTTGGAAATGTTTTTAAGACTCACTAGCTAGCTAATTAACTAATTTGAACATTAGCAAGTGGAACTGGTGGAAATCGAGTGTGATTATTATTTGCAAAAAAAAGGGATTGATTTTGTGTGTGTGACATAAAGTGACATCAGGGAATGTTTTACTGGCTACAATCACATACCATTTTATTTTGTACTTATGCAAACTTGCGACATGACCTAGGTCTATGCAAAAATAACATTAATCAAGACAAGTGTGAAAACAGTTAGCCAACAATGCTCATCTGAGGAAAAAAAAAAAGAGAGTCTGTATTGAAACCAACCTGCAATTATTTGCTAAGATACAACAATCCAGTTTTCCCTGTGATCTGGCAGCAAATATGTGAGTAAAGAGGTGTGGTCAGAAATTAAATTCATTTTAAACAAATGGTACAGACTGAAATTAGTGTCATTTCCCATAAGGCCTTAAGTAAGGGACAGTGATGTAATCCACCCATCCCCGTTGAATCATACCTTGTTTGATCGGGAAATGAGGGAAATAATCTGATTCCATCAAACGTTGCAAACATGTCTGAAAACATGCAAACTTTTGTTTGCAGTGGTGGCTCAGTAGTTGAGGGCTTTGGGTTGCTGACCTGGGGGTCGGGGTTCAAGCCTCAGCACTGCCAGGCTGCTACTGCCGGGCCTTTGAGCAGGGCCCTTGACCCTGTCTGCTCCAGGGGTGCTGTATCACGGCTGACCCTGTGCTCTGACCCCAGCTTCCTGGCAAGCTGGGATAGGCAACGAAAAAGAAACTTCACTGTACTGTAATGTATAAGTGACAAATAAAGGCTTCTTCTTCTAATGCCAAAACATATCAATTAATAAGCAAAGCAAAATTTCAGAGATGCTTACTCTTTGAGGGACAAATCATGTCCAACAGTTTTGTTTTTCCCAAAATTTGATCTGTCAAAGGAAAGCACTGGTTTCTACCAAACCAAAGGACCAGAGTGTGTTCGTTATTTACAGAAACCTTTTCTTCAGTATGTCATAGAGTTGCTCGTGGGCAATGCTAACTAATAAGGAACTTATGTAACACTCCAGTTTAGTGGTGTACAAACAGAGTGACTAAGAGATTAAACATTTTTAGTCTATTTATAAAGCGCGTGCATTAGGAACTCTATTAGTGAAGACAGTGAATATTTCTCTAACACTCCTGAAGCCACAGCCTGTTTGCTGCCAGCGATTCTGCTTTCATGTTTCGGCGCTGTGGCCTGAGGGGGTCTTAGAAAGCCTGGATATGTGGAGCTGCCAAATGAG